TCCTTTTCGTCATTTTCGTATTTGTAATATTTATATCTGTCACCAACATAATTCTACTAATGTCATATTTTATGATATTAATGATGATGCTGATAATCACAGTGATGTTGATATTCATTATAACACCGGACCTGTCACTGTTGATAAATAGATTAATAATATAATAACAATAAAATGAATAAAAATAATCCAATTATCTAAGGAACTTGATTATTAGATAGTTATAAAGCTGGAGTGTTAATTATGTTAGATATCTACATTGGTAGATGATTAGATTGTTATATAGTTCTATAGTTTATTTATAAAGCAGTTAGATTCTTAAATAGGTATATAGTTGGATTGTTGGGTAGTTATATAGTTGAGTTGTTAGATAGATAATTAAATAAATAGTTTGGCTGTTAGATGGATTGTTTGGTAGTTGGATTCTTAAATAGATAGTTGGGTTGTTAGGTAGACTGTTAGACAGTTGGATCGTTATACTGTTAGGTAACTGGGTTGTTAGACGGTTAATTAGATAGTTTAAAAGCTGGATTGTTAGATAGATAGTTGGATTTTAAAAGTAGGGCTGTTAGATTGTTAGATAGTTTGATTGTCATATTATTAGTTGGGTTGTTAGGTGATTAGATGGTTAGATGGATAGTTGATTGTTCAATAGTAGGGCTGTTAGATAGGCTGTTAGATTGTCATATTATTAGATAGTTGGGTTGTTAGGTGATTAGATGGTTAGGTTGTTAAACAGTTGGATTGTTGTTAGATAGTTGGGCGTTTAGTTGGATTGTAGATAGTAGTGTTAGGTGATTAGATGGTTAGGTTGTTAGATAGTTAGGCTGTTAGGTAGATAATTGATTGTCATATTGTTAGATAGTCGGGTTGTTAGGTGATTAGATGGTTAGACAGATAGTTAACCAGGAGGATTGTTAGATGGTTAGATAGATAGTTAAACAATTAGATTGTTAAATGGTTAGATGGATTGTTAAATAGTTGGACTGTTATATTGCTACATAGTTTGCTAGATGGTTAGATGGATAGTTAAACAGTAGGTATGAACGTTATTTCAGAGAAAGTTTCACACCATCTTATGACAGATGGTTATCAAAATATTCCTCTGCAAAATGGGACTAATAACGTGCCAAGTGTTCAGTTGTTTCAAGTGCGATAGATTTTTTCTTTTTTTCTTTTTTTCTTTCATGTATCAATCCTTTTTTCTTCATGTATCAATCTCTTTTTTTGGGTCATATGGGAAGCTGTAGGAAGACATACACTTTTTCTTTTTTTGAAGATGATATTGCATGACCAAACAACACAATGGAACATCGTTATTTAAATATATACAAGACACAATAAAAAAATATCGCGCAAACTGCGAGACGTAAGATAAAGGGGCGGAGGTAATGACGTCATC